TACTTATGAGCCGGGATTGTCAGCGGATACCCCCTCTAACATAGCAACTGCGCGTGCGCATACAATAAAATCCAAGATGGCGGACATCAAAACACGAGTAAAAAATTTCGAACTTTCGAGGGTTTTTACTAAAAAACAGCAGGATTTCAGAGGTGCCAACAAGCATATTTGTATTCAGTAGGTAAAAATCTATAGATTTAAGTTGTTTTTAAGTAGACCCCGTAAAGTTTATATTTTTTGAACGATAATCGACTTCAGAATACGGCCTATAGCACACGATTGACGTCATCCATGGAGGTGCAACTCGCCGATTGCTACAAGTCATTAATTAATCAAGACAAGCTTGAAGTAGAACTTCCACCTGTTCAAGTTCAGTTGGGGGAAGTGGATTGCGGTGTATTCGCGATAGCGTTCGCGTACGATCTTGCTGCCGGAAATGACCCCTCCAACGTACGTTACGACCAATCCAAGATGCGTGAACATTTGACGAACTGTTTGGCAAGTCAGTCCTTTACGCCATTTCCCAGACAATCCAAGTCTAAAGCTGTCCAATTCCGCAAAGAGTTTGTCAATCGTGAGATTGAGTTAGTTGCCATTGTCTGATGCCAGAGTCATGGGATGATATGATCGAGTGTGACTTGTGCGGGAAATGGCTTCACATCAAATGCGAGAATCTTGAGGCATTTCCAGATGAAGATGAATGGCTTTGTAAGGCATGTCGACCTCCAAGCTCAAAGCGATCGAAACAATGATAAACATTAACATTTATAGACGATCCCGAGAAATACGAACAGATTTTTATCTCTGATAGACATGACTAGTTTTTAAGCCCTGGGCAAACTAGGAAACATTGTTTATTTATCCTTTTATAGTTGTAATACATACTTTCCATTTGGACCTTTCTAGTTTACTTGTAGTTTAAGATTTTTGAATTTGGATCTCACTGGCAATAAAAAGTTTTCTATTCACAATAAATGACTATGTGTGGTTGATAAGTAGGTCCGGGTTTCTGAAAACTAATGAATTTAACATATTCACCTTTATCGGGGTTGTTTTTAGTGTATAAAACTGTTTAAAAAAGGGGGTCCATATCCGCTAAAGGGGGTCCATATCTGCTAGGAGATTTGGACCGGGGGGTCCATATCTACTAGAAGATTTGGACCGGGGGGTCCAAATCTACTGGGGGGTCCAAATCCGCTGTGACACCGGCGTCAGAAGTTTCTTATAAAAGTCTCTAAAAGTTAATTTCCGTTTAAAGATGAGGTCAAGTCTTTATGCGCATGTGCTATGTGCAGGGGCGAAACTT